CCAATGAAATTGAAAATTGCTTAAATTATTTGTTAAAATAAAAAAAAAAATAATAATAAAGACACCGTCGCTATATCGCTTATTACATTAGAAAAAAAATTAGAATTATCGTTCTAAAGTATTTTATCGAAATATATAAAAAATATCAACACCTTGTTCAAACTAGATAAACATTCGTAATTTCATCAAATTGCTTATCTATTTTTCCAAGCAAATATACAGTGATTACCGTATTTCTCGAGAGCCTGAAAAAAGTAAAGTAGAGAACTTGGGAAATTGACGTTTAGACATTGATATAATATTCAAGCAAATTTCCATGTAACATTACATTCCTTATAACTTAAGTCAATTGATTCAAAGAGCGAAAGGAACAAAAAACAACACATATGGATAAACGGGAACATTTCTTTATTAACAAAGTCTAGATTATGAATTCAGGCAAAAGGCTTTTTCACGATTATTCTTTTTCATTTTCCATTTTCAAATATCTCCCGCTATAAAACTCTCTATCTACTTAATCTATCCATTGCAGATACGAGATATGCATTTTAAATCGAAGCTCTATTTCATCGATTTATAGCTCCTTTCAAACTCCAGGTTTTACAACTGCCAGTTGTGGCGTACATCAAAATTTGAAATTTGAGTATCGATAAAGTGAAGCTCTATTTTCGCAAGTAATTAAATTTCTTTTATTACATCTCTATCCTCAATTAAATTCAACAAGATAATCCACCTTGCAGGAAGAACATTGATAATAGCGTAAAAACTAGGCTAACAATATAAATACGCTGTTATGCCTTATCCATTATGTCCATAAAAGGAAAGAGAAAAATGTGTTCATTGTCGACTCTTGTTGCTCTAATAAATTATTGTGTAAAGAAAAACTTGAATATGTAATAAACTATATTGCCTTTATTACTTTCTTTCCTTTCTTCAATTTTTTCTTTAACAATCAACATTTATCATTGGCAAAGTTTATCAGCACTGTGAATTAACTGATATAGAATAAGATAAAAAGTCCTTATTCTCAAGATATTTCGAGGCTCGAACTCATTACTTATGCCGCTGCTCGAGCTGGAAAAGGTCGAAAACATCTCCATTGACTATTGAAAACCCAATTCAATTACCAGTGACGCTTCTATTTATTATCCTTGTCACACCACTCTGGCTCCCTCTCAACACGCTTACACACGTAAGGCTTTACACATGTCCTTGCGACAGGTTTTCGTCCTCGTACACGTCCGTTCTGGGGTATGCTTATCTGCCAGTACGTGAACACTTCGTGATGTAGAAAATAAAAAGCTACGCGATACCAGAATGTTGGAGGCTACTGATGTAATTAATACCGAGACAAAAGGCAGAGGTTGTTGAAACATTGTAATAACTAAGTTTATTACTGATTTGTCAAGTAATTATGTCGAACGTTAAGGAAAAAGCCTTGGGCCCCTTATAGATAGGAAAAGACGAGTTGTGACGCCGATAAAAATATGAATATGGTCATTGAGGGGATTGTTCGGGTAACGTTAACACTGTAATGATATGAATAGGCATTTCAATTTTTATCGTTATTTCGTCATTTTTACGTGTGCCGTCATTGCTGCACCTCAACCTAACCCCATTCAACTTCGTAAACTTGATTAACTCAAGAACGAGCACCAGAGTTGCCTACCTATACGTTGTCACGGAAGGAAGGAAGTTCGTCAGTTTTATAAGCTCCGATCTATTTCGTTCAAGATTTTTTAAATTATCCTGCAAAGATCGATTTAACCCAACTGTCCGTACATCAGCGTGTGAGCGCTTTACTTAAAAAGATGCTTTGTCCTTGTTGTTTTTGGTTTTTAATTTCATGCATTGACGGTTTATGTATTTTTCAAACTTATATACTTTTACAATACTTAAACTGACTTACTCAAAAACTTTGGGATATGTAATAGAAGTTTTATAAGCTTGACAGCACCTTGTTTAAAATAACTGTCAACTTGGAAATTTATTCGTAGAAAGTACATAACGCGATGTGTTTGTTTTGACTTCTACAAAAGTGATTACCGATAAGTATTTATAATAAGAAACGCCAAGATTATAACAGTTTCATAAATTTCATTGTTATACATTGTTTTCTATCATTAGTTTACAACTTTTGCTAGTGGATTTACAAATGAAGTGTATTGTAATTCTACTGTCGTACGTTTTTCGTAAATAAATTTAGGTTTCTTTATAATTTCCAGCATTTATCATCGGCTAATTAAATCCGTGTACAGTAATACGTAGCGAAATACGTAAGAAAGGATGGAAAGTGGAATGTCAATTTAGTAGATTCGAAATTTGCGAGCGTAAAAAAACAAAAAGGAAACATGAGAATTTGATGAGTAAAGAAGAAGTAAATGTAAATTTGCCGAGTCATTAGATTGAAAATTTGGAAAATATAATTAGATAAAATCTAAGTAAATATAAATTAATAAATAGTGTATCATATTGTATGCACTAAATTAGAAAGGTTGCGAAAAGTTCGTCTATTATTTTATAGATCATATCCACACTCCTTCCGCTTAACATCTAAAGACTTGACTTTTCCCTTTAATACTTGAAACCTACGATTAATCGAGAATATTTGTTCGATTTCTTAATTATGATGTTCAATTACCGCTTGCCTCTCGTAAAAGATACGATTATCATAATTAAAAAATAATGCTTAATCTTTATTCTTGTACACGACTTCCTTTTCGAATATAAGAAATTCGTGGTGTAAAGGAGGAGGTGTCAGTCAGTCAAATCCCTAGGTCACTTTACAACATGACATCTGCAATTACTAAAATCCATTCTGCAACTGAGTGACACTCGTTACCTGTACAAAAAAATCCCTAACATATAAAAATATGTCTGTTATTTATATTCCATCCACATGGTTGGTATACGAATATATATATATATATATATATATATATATATATACATATCCATATAAACATGTAGGCTAAATATTGAATAAATATCTTTGTGAATATACACTTTCCATTTAATATAATATTAAACACCTTTTAAATTGAATTTATTGTTTGTATAAAAAAAAGGTAAATTTTTCATTTCATTTTGATGAACATTATTGTATCTGTTTTTTTTATCCTATTTCAATGCAAATAAAGTCACATAAAAGTATACTTTCCATTTTAGTACGATTTTTATTTGGAATTCGAATTACAATATTAATGCACTTCTCGTCATTCGTATTCTGGCGTTAACCGGATTTTGTTTCAGTAATATCACATGATCAATGTTCTAAATATCTTGTTTACTTCAACCTTTATGCAGCTCGCGAACTTTGGAAATCAGAACCAACGGATGTTCAATTGTTGAAAAGTAAGGATTTAAATATACAATGCAAATAAAACCTCCATAATGTTTAATACGACAATCATAAATATCAACATTTAACTTGGACGTACAAATTGAAAAAAAATCAAAAGATTAACTAGTTTTTATCGAACTCTTACTTTGTCTAAGGTAAAAATTTTATAGTGTAACTGTAGATAAATACATCCAGTGCATTAATTCATAATCAAATTGTAGTGCGCTAGACTTGAATACCCATTGGATAAAATATTTTCAATTATGTTAAAGAAATTTAAAACTATGGAAAAGCAAGATTCTCCTTTAATTCAAATAACGCAATAATTATACAAATATACTTTAGAAGAAATTTTTTTATCTTATACATCTTACACTATAAATTTGTTGTTAAGCATTTAAGAACAAACAATGGTTTTTAAATAAATTGCTATATCAAAGATTAGAATTTCATTCTTTCAAATTATCCAAATATTTCAACATTTTTCAAATAACAACTAACAACTATATAAAAGTGTATAATTTTATATATGATTTAATATATATGCATATAGCAGATAACAGACAAAATATTTTTAATAATCTAAAAGAATTGATGGGTAAAAAAGCTGCGTTCGCTTTTTAATTCTGAATATGAAAAGTTCCAAAGCTGAAATAATAATAACAATAATAATATTAGGTATTTATCTTCAATGAATTTAAAACGAATAATGAAAATGCTAACGCGTAGACAAGTAATTTCCCTGAAAAATAACTCAAAAATAAAAACTACAATTTACATCAACCTTAGATAAAATTTGATAATATATATCTATGCATGTCGTGGGGGGGGGGGGTAATGCATTCTATTTACGTACTTGTACATAGCATAAAATAATATTATGAGTAAATTACAAACACACCTTTAAAAAAATTGATTTGCACCTTCATAGTCCAAATTTTATCTAGATCATTAAAATAAAAAATACATTACTGAACTGAAATTAAGTAATTAAATAAGAAATTATAAAAATTGTTAATACATATGTATGTAAGTACGTAATACTTTGTGAATGACACTAATTAACAAAAGCATTGAGGGTGTGGTGGAAAGTTGCGAAGGAGAGAATTAAAAATGCAATGTATGGACTTGTAAAATATATTGAGAAAAATTAATCCAGACATATGTAATAAATGAGGTGTAAAATACAGTTGTAAGTAGTATAACCAACCAATAACAGACGTAAATGTAAATAATTCAATATGAATAAAAAAGAAATCAATTTAATTTAATTGTTCGATTGTTCATATGATTTATTTCTTTACGTAATTACGGATTGCAAGGAGACTATTGGTATAATTAAGTTTTACATGTATCGTGCGTAAGACTATTAAAATAATGTATTAAGGTATTTCAATTATTTGTGACAATGAAGCTATACAATACACTAAAGTTTGGTATACGATTCAATCACGTCATTAAAAATATGAAAAAGAGAAGTAACAATCACCATTATTCATACGACAATCGGAAACATTTTTCATTTTGTTCTGTTTTTTTGTAATGGTTTTTTTTTTGTTTCAATAATTTCTCATAATTCGCAATGCTCGTATAAGCAACATTGAATAATTCAAATCGGTTTTTACCATTCTTTTATAATTCGACAAGATAATTGATTTCATTTTTTATGACAGGATCAACAAAGGTTAATTAAAGTCTGAATTTGATACATTTAAGGACTATAATGTCCCTCGGTGAAAATCCACTACCAACCAAAGCATTATCACTGCTTTGTTTAAAAAAATTGATGAAATCTCGTCCATATCGTTTCATCTCAAGGCCGACATAAATTTGTAGATACTTAAAACGCTCGATTATCTCGCGCGTGAGCACGTAAAAAGTAAAGTACCCTTACGTATGTACCAAATTACTCGTTGCCTCGCAGAACCGAGTAAGCCAACACTTTTTCCAACAATGTATTTAAAAATATATTTCATATTTAAAATATTTGTCTTTATTATTTATCACATCGTCACTTGTGCGTAACCTTACGTTAATCGACGCCAGTTTTCCTAAGCGACGAATTGCGTACAATAACAATACCACGGCAATTATTAATAAAACTAAACGATTTATTATGCTCGATAATTCTAAAACCCCCCGCGATGATTATCATCGATCAAATTATACCTCAACAGTCACTAACTTTATATACATACATAAATCATCGAGCGACGCCCGCAATAATCGGCGAATTGTCGAGTTCTCGGGACATTGAGGAGTGCCGATTTGATGGAAAAAAGACAGACGTAAAACTTAATAACCGAGATCGCAAAATCATAAACAATCACGCCTCCTCGCTCTTATCCTTCACGGTCGTCTTAAAGGGCCAGCATCGCGCGTCAGCCGCCGTCATTTTAAAGGGCCGCATTTCACCAAGCATCTCCTGGATCTCATTGAATGTCTTGCACTTGGTTTCCGGTATAAAGCCGTAAATGAATACGAAGAGGAGGGAGCACGATACAGCGAATAGGAGGTAAGTGACGTGGGAGCCAACATTGGTAAATATGACCTCGTACATCTTCGACACGACGAATCCCAGCAAGCCGTCGAAGACGGTGACGATCGCTCCGGCTATGCCCTTTACGTTCGTGGGGAACAGCTCGCCGATGAGGAGGTTCGGCAACGTGCCCAGTCCGATCTGATAGACCACCTGGAAGACAATTACGTCAACGACAGGGAGAAGATTCAAGGAGGAGATGTCCGCACCGCTGGCATTGACCATGAGGCCGAAGCTCGAGTAGATTAAGAGGGGCCGTCTGCCGGCACCCTCGACCATGAGGGTCGACAGGGCACCGGATACGAGGCCAACGGCTAGGACGATTATCGTCGCCATATGCGAGTCGATGCCTATTTTCGCTTCGAGGAACATGTGCTCGAGGTATTGCATGGTGCTGAAGTTGCCGCTGAGCTGCTGGCCCAGAATGAGGCCCATGACGATGAGGAGGGCACGCCGGTTCCTCAAGCTCATGAGGAGGAGGAAGTCGGCGAAGCTGAACTTGAGCTCGTCGAACTCGCCGTCGCTGTTCTCGCCGATATTCTTGCGCACGATCTCGAGCTCGAGGAGCAGCTCCTCCGAGTCCTCGAT